CCCCCCCCCCCCCCCCCCAACAAATGCTACGGTAGCACAGATTCCGAGCTCATTACAGATAACCATATCAGCAACTGTCAGCAAATATTACAGGACAAAAAAGAAATTCAAACCACGGGATTAGTAACGAACAACAACTTCCAGGTTTTAGCCACAAATAATAAAAAACCTTGTACACATAAATAATGAAAACCAACCTAGTAATATTCAAATTAAACTTCATGCCTGACGTGCTAGAGGCCTGTGTGGCTTCGGAGCTGAGAAGAAATTTAAAGAGCATAAGTATTATTACTAGTACTAAGGCTTATATGGACCACATATCAACAATATCTGACAGCTTTAAAATTAGAAGGTTGTGTTAGTAAGAACAGATAAAAGTAACTTACCATTGGGATTTCCTTGCTCGTAGAATGTTCGAAACAGAAGGACAGCTTCTGATGCCATTATACCTCCAGTACATTTGAAACTCTTTCCGGGTGGAACTTCACTATTAATTAGAAAAATAATAATAATCTATTTACATACATTACTGGATGTAGTAGACAGATATAAAAGACATACTTGTTGAGTGGTGTGGTGTTACTTAAATGCAATGACAATATTGATCCACAGCCTCCAAATTTATCATTTGAACAGCCATAAAATACTTCTTTTATACCTGAGATAATACACAAATAAATGAATTAGTAAGGACAATATAAAAGTCGAACTATTATAGATTGATCAACTGAAGCCTTGAAGAAGCATACCTAAAATTGATAAAGCAGATGCGCACATTATGCATGGTTCACAGGTAACATAGAGGCTGCTATTTGAGAATTTTTCAGAAACTTCAGACATTGAAAGTCCATTTTTCTGCCACTGCCCCAGAAGCACATCTATAGCTTCCATTTCTGCATGCCTTGTAGCCTGAAAAAAGGTACCGAGAAGAAATAACAGAAATTCTTGAATGATAAAATGATTACAATAATGAAGAAAAGCCAAAGGAAAGACTGATTAAAGAATTGCCGAAAGCTTTGGTGAAATGTGAAATAACTGTTACCTCGTGTAAGAATGAAAATTTCTAGTCAAAACATATTTGATAACAATATTTGACTAGAACAGACAATTTTTTTCTTTATTATTTAAAATGGAACACAAAACCAATATCTTAATGAAAAAAGTACTTAACCAAGAATCACATTCTTGGCTATCAAGGAATGGATAATTAAAATCAAGGACTAAGTGAAAACAAATATTGACAAGGTGATTACTCACCCAAGTCCGTAAAACCAAAACAGTGCAAAAAGATCAAATGTGAATTTCGTGCTAACCAAAACCTATTACCACTGTAAGCAATTTATTTAAGTTAATTCTTTCAACTTATCCAAATTTCCACATTTTCTATCTGTTTTCTGTCATTTGAAGAGTGAGCAGTTTGTTTATTAGAAATTAATACCTTATGGCTTTTAAGGCCAGATTAAAAGGCTTAAATAAGTTTTCGCTGTGGGGCTTTCTTTTTAAGTATAAATATAAATATAATAACATGTTCACTGATGATAAATATTTTCCACAAAATTTCATTCATGTAGAGAGCCATATGAGCCAAGCTTCATATTTATCATCTTTCTGTAGAATTCCTTTTCTCATCTTACCATACACAATGGTTGAGTTTTCACAATTTCTTATCTTAAACTCTTCTTTCATGCTATAACAAATAATATTTTTTCATTACCCTCAGAAGCAGAGTGTTTTAAAATTTCATTTGCAATGTGGTTCCCATTTATACCACGAAAAAGGTCATGCTAATGCCTATATCCGACAAAAAGAAAATAGAAACCAAATTTCTTAAAAATGAAGGTTTCAGTAGGCAAGCAAAAAATTCAAAAGTAATCCATTGTTCCAAACTACAAATAGATTGTAAAAGGAGCAGCTAAATATAAAACAAAGCATAGAAAATAAATGTATGAAAACAAAAAAAGAAGCCATTAATCAAATTACATTTCGTGTCTCGGTAGTTCGGTTCCTGCCTGATGCTATAACCTTCCCATCCTCAACAATTACACATCTGACAACAGATACTATAGTTTCAATGAACACAGCAAATCAAAGCAATAATGCCCCAGTGAAGTGACAGACACAGTTTCTCCAATCTATTCAATGCAGAAAACCAATTAAGATGATGCGCAAAGAAAGATTCAATATAGACAATTTTATACTAAACAAATGATAGGAAGAATACCAGGAATCACAAGCAAATGATAAACACACCTTGTTCTCAAAGGTAAAAGATGTTAAAGGACAAAATAATAAGTCATTATTATTAATAAAATGTCTGACTGCGCAACAAAAGGATCAAAGAAATAGGGCATTCCTACTCAAATTCGAAAAATAAATTCAATTGATGGGATTCAGTATATAATACTAATGAAATCAATGAGATTCAAATATTTCTTCTTAGGACATATTGTCTAATTACCATAGAATGCATTTCCATGTCTTAATGCAAACAACTAACTAACCCTTGCCTAACTCTTTGTAATCCCAATAACACGTTTAGCAATTAAAGGTCACAGTTGCAATAGTATTCAAGTAACACGATTGATGAAATGGAAAAGGTAAGTTACCCAACAGGCACTTCAAGAGCGTCCAAAGCTAGCTTTGCCTGTAACATAAAGCAAAGCAATAGTAGTTGGGTCCAATAAAATAATAAAGAACAGTTGAAGCTAGAATGGTGAGTTTGAATGCAAGAGGAAGATGAATAAGCAAGTGTTAATTTGCGAAAGAATGAATGGTGAAGGAAGCTTATAAGCTAGAAAAGGGAACTGTTTGAAAGAATTACCTGCTGAATGGCGAGCTCCATGAACGTAAGAGTCTCCGGAGAGGTCATCCTGCACAGAAGAATAAAACAGAAAAACCCTTTGTCAACCCACACACTGGCCAAGCTCTTAGGGACGTTGGGAAGCAAAGGATGTTTTAGGTTTGGAGGTCCAATCCAATTAAAAAATAAATCCTAATTATATCTAATGAAAATCAAAAATTAATGATAATTGTTTTTTAATCATCTTTTTGCATAATCTATTGCTTACGATGGATTTTTGTGTTTGCAAAATTGAATCGATTTAAATCAAATCCATATTTTATAAAATACGTTATTACGTATTTCACATGTAATTTATAAAGTTTTTCTTATATTTTCTTTTTAGAATTTCATTGATTATTTTTTTATTGTTTTCTTTGTGTATTCAAGAAAAGTAATTGAAGTACTTGTATATACTATAAATAAATAAAAACTTATTATTTTAAGAATAAATTTTATGAGAATTACGGTTCGTCAACTTAAAATTTTCGTGAATGATTCCAAAAGTCTTGGATTTCATAAATATAATAAAAGAAAGATATAAAAACACGAAGCTAAGGAGTTTAAAAGGCTAATTACACTTCTAAATACTTTATCACTATTAGGTATTTTTATAGTAGATTAGTCATATCGAAGTAGAATACAAGCAAATTATTTTTATTATTTATTTTTCACAATCAATAATCTGATTTGAATTAAGAAGACTATGTTGCTTTGTTATGCAAATAATTGTATAATAATAGCAATAATTTATAATTTATAAGAAATTTCAACAATCTAATTATTAAATTAAAATTTTTTAATAAATAATTAAACTTTATAAATTATATAATTCTTTGTTATACATGTTAAAATTAAAATATAATATATTTTTATGAAAATATATTAACTTGAATTAATATAATCAAATATAAAATAATTTTTAAATTTTGATAAAATTTGTAGATTTAATTTATTTATTAATAATTTTTAATTTAATGATCAAATTATTGAAATTTAATATAGATTATGAGTTATTGAGAGAAGAAATTTGCTGAACAAACTATTTTTGTTTGGAGAATTAAAAAAAGACCACCTTTAAGAGATTAAAACTTGTTGATCGAAATTACTTTGCTTAGTGATCCAACTGACCTTACCAAAAGGTTTAAACTCACTTAGCGAATGTCTTAATAAGTCTCATAGTAGTTAGAATTTGTTAAGTGTACCTCATTCATTTAGCAAACACTCATATAGTTCATTACCTTCATTTAGCGGACTTAACTTGATGAGCAAAAACTTGACTTGAACCTAACAACTTTGATAAATCAAGCCTCAATTCTCACTCAAATTCAAACCAAAAACTTATTTATCATTTTAAATAAAAACACCCATTAATCAACCTATAACACATGTATAATCTCATTCTATACTTAAAAACTCATTACACATAAAATCTCAATCTACATATTAGAACCCTAACTCCAAATAGAAGCAAATTAAAGACAAAACATGAATCAAGAAATTAATCGTGAATTCACACACAATACACATCGTAGACATGAAACATATTGTCACCTCTTATTTCAGGTTGACATATTATTACTTCCCATTTTAGAGTATTCATAAATCCTCAAACATGTACAATTCAAAGTCTAAGGAATTGAGAGATAATCCCATAATCCACAATTCTCATACATGTCATGTGAAGATGATTTTATTCCCCCTCTTATCTCAGATGATGGTCTTTGATGCAAAAGGAGTGTGGTCTTAGTGATTCAAAAAAAAATTATTTGCTCCTCAAGCAACAAATCCTCTCCACATTTTATCTAAATGTCAAAAAAGCGTAGAGCACAAAAGTAAAGTCTAACCTCTAAAAACATCCTTCTATCCTAACTTGGGTAGGTTATTAAGTTGAGTTTCTAGAGTTCAAACTCAACTTAACCCTTCGAACATAGTATAATCTGCGGTTCATCTCTATTTATTATTTAAAAGCAATCTTATTTATTTTTAAAAACTAAATTAATAAATCAATGTAACCCATAAAAGAAATTATTATTAAACGACTATATTATTATTGTTCAAAAACTATATTAATGATAATTTCTATCACACTTTTTTCATTTATATATTTTTTTTTCATGAACTTTGAAATAAAATTAGTAAATATTCTTCAATAATAATGCATTTCTTTTCTCTCTCTATATATATATATAAAAGGGATCCGTTTACTCTAGGAGTAAGTCTATTTAGATTTACTTCATTCAATAACTCATGTTCTATATCAAATTTTAATGATTCAACTGTTGGAATTAAAGTTCTTAATACATGGATCAAATCTATAGATTTTTAAAAAAATTTGAAAATCATTTGATACTTCATTTCATTAATTCAAATTGACGGATAATCATAAAATTATTTTATACATTGATTTGAATTAATGAAACAAAGTATCAAATGATTTTTAAATTTTTTTAAAATTTGTAGATTTGATCTATGCATTAAGAACTTTAAATTCAACAGTTGGAACGTTGAAATTTGATGTAGAACATGAATTATTGAACAGAGGCTTACTCCTAAAGTAAACGGATCATTCTCATATATATATTAAATATGCAAATTTTAAAAAAATTTAAAAATTATTTGATACTTCGTTCTATTAATTCAAATTAATGTATAAAATTAATTAAGCAGGAAAATTGAGAGTGATATTAATAACAAGAACTTAAATTTATAATGCAATTTTTTTATGACTTTTTATCATACACTAAGCATGCAACAAAAAATTAACAATTTATAATGCAATTTTTTATGACCTTCCATCTTTTATCTTGATGTAAACTACAATCACCTAATTTCTGTATTAACAATCCATGACTTTGTTTTGCTTTTCACTTGTTTTCTATCACTATTTTCATTCACTCAGTTATACTTATATGAACTGTAAAGAGTTAGTCGGGGAAAGTATTGATGTTGGATCTAGTATATTTTATTTATCTTTGTTGCAAGTACAACTGTACAACCAAGATGGTTTTATAATATACCGTATCCAATTTTAATTCTGTTGTTTTCTTAACTTAATATTCATTTTGGCCTCTTTTCACTCCAAATTTGTTTCATTGAGAAACAGTGGTGTGTTTGCCTTGAGATATAATGTTTTTCATCTCCCGAGACAATAAAACCGGAAATACAAGAATGAAATTCTTTCTCCCACTTCCATCCATTATGCCCTCTGGTGAATGTGATAGCCTGATGCATGCATGCAACTGTGCACATCTCATCTCGCAACTTAATCAGAACTGGGTGCTACATTTATGGTGAAACACGGTTTATTTTGTAAGTTTTACACTTCACTTATATTAAACGCACTTTCATTTTTGTAAAGATGCAGATACCATGATGACTGCTATAAAGTTTTTGTGTTTATATAATTTATAGAAGATATACATGTACATATTTAAAAAAATCTATAATGCTCAGGTGGCACTCTCCTGTCTGAGCATCCCTTTTGATCATTGGTTGTTTTTAATGTATGCCATAAATCTATATTGCTCTTTATCTCATAATTAAATGTTTTAAATTCTTTCAACTGTTGACCTAATTAAGTAGAAGGCATTACAACTATGTAACATAGAAATGAAATAAACCAGAATGCAAGGTTAACCCCCAGTTAGTGTTTACTAATAGCATTAAAATTAGGCAACATTTGTGGCTTGTACGTAGAGGATATGTCACGAAACCCTATGGTTATGCTTGTAAATATTTTAAGAATCAGGCTGTGTGTAGTGATTCAACATGAATGGTTTAGTTTTTTTTTTTAAGCACACTGTTTTTAGTAAACGTATTGGGCCTCAGAGACAGAAATTGAGGGAACCACAGCAACATGGAAGGGGCCTGAGAGGCAGAAACAGCTTTAGTATAATTAGAGAAAATGTCAATTATTGTTGGCTGAACAAAAATATAGTTTAACATATGATAATTGACTGGGCTTTGCTACATTAGTGTATATGAAGAATGCAATGCCAAATTAAGCATTATACCAATTGTATGTACTCTGAAATTTAGGAATCTTGCATGAAATCAGAAATTCTATAGCAATTATTGAATTTCTTCTTTTTTATTATGTTAGCTTTTGATAACGGATTCACTGCAGAGGCTCAGAGCATGTCTCTCCTTCACCTTAAAACTTATTAAAATTAAGGACTTGGGGTTCCTAATTGAAGTGGAATGAAAAGAATTGTAGTGCCCGTCATAGATATTTTATTTTGCAGTACTGATTCCAACAGGATGCATATTTTAATTTGCTAACGAGAATGCATAGACCACATAGTGGGAAGTATGAAACGAAGAATCTCCGTGAGGCCATAACACGAAGGTCGAGAATCAAGCGTAATAGAATCTTAGGCAATTTGCTTTCGTTGCTTATCTCAACCAGCCACTGTCCCCCCTTATCTTATAGTGAAGGAAGGGAGAAGAACCCAAAAAGTAAAGAACTAAAGAAAAAAAATAAAAATAAAAAAGTAAAAGGTTACAGAAATATATAAATGAACTATCTCTTTCTTTTTTATTTAATTTTTATCTTTTAATAAAGAGTCCCAAAAAAGCACGTGCTTTACTGCTACGAACTACATACTATATCATCTGTGTGCATTCGAACTAGAATTGAGCCTCCTAACAAACCGTCCCTGCCACATCACAAACAAGTAGTATGTCTGTCAAACATAAATGAAGCCATAATTCAAAATTCATTTTCTTTAAATAAAAAAAAAAAAAAAAAACGATTAAGTTATGTTCTAGCTTTGTTTCCACCTAGCTCCTCTTGCTAGCTCTGGACTGGAGTTGAGGCTAACTTTTAGAATTATAGTTAGACATAAGAATATAGATTTTATTAATGATGAAAGAATGTGAAGCAAAAGTGGAAGACATGAAATTAAAAAGAGAAACCAAAAACATTGGTATGAAAGAAGGTGAAAAAATAGATAGATCCTGAAAAGTTGGACAAAGTGAGGAAGGGGGTCCACTCTCCATAACAAAAATAAACTGTGACGCACTCACCGTCCAATTATCATCACCAAATGATAAAGAAGATTTTGCTCTCTCTTATGTTTTTTATCTGACATAAATGAAATATCTGTCCGAGTGTCCTCAACTTGAACTGAGTCATACCTTCATTCTGGGCCGTCGATCTGCGTTGACTTTCCTCACCTGGTATCTGATCTTCTTTGAGAAGAGGCGTGTTCGCCGCTTCTCTTTGTAGCGCAGCACGCTAGCTTCTCTCACTCCTCCATTGTTGTCCCACCACAAATCAATCTGCGACAACCGCGCCTGCCTCCCACAATGCCACAAACCAATTTAGTTAACTATCCACTGCTCCTGCACCCCACCCTCTTACCATGTCCCCCAACACTTGTCTTTTACTTTTAAGTTTTAACACACCCAACCCAATTTAATTCTAAACTAAAGTAAACAGGAATGGAGCATGACATGCATGAAATACTTAACTATTTCGGTTTTTTTTTTTAAAAAGTGCCATTCCATGCTCCACGTGATTAAAAAATGCTAACCAGTGTTGAAAAATTACTTTTTTTAAACGCTTGTTATTTCCTCCTAAACCCCACACACTCTAGGGATTACCAAGATTTTAACTTTCAACAGTCTCAGTTATCGGAACTTACAGCGACGTCATTTTCCGGCGCGTCGGCGAGGGGGCTATCGTCGGCGAAGGGAGTGCCGCGGTCGGACCAAGCGCTCCGGACGTCGTCGTAATTCAATTTCAACATCAAACCCTGTTTGGGTTTGGGCAATTCGACGTTTCTAAACTCCATCACCGGTTTCTCTTTCTCCGCCAGCTTCTTCTTCTTGGTCTTCTTGTCGGCGGCGAGCGGCGGAGGCTTAATTTTGGGCGATATCTGGAGAATATCGACGGTGGGAAAGTTCCAGCAGTTTGCGTGGTCGACGTGGCGCAGAGCCCTAACGCGCGGTCTGGCGAACTCGAAGGCCATTAGGACGTTGCGAACGGCGTCGTTGGATTCCTCTTGGATGATGGTCCCTCCCATGATGCTATCCATCCCTTCCTCAATTTCCTCGTCGAGAATCGATTCGGCGTCGAGGCTCTCTTGGCAAACGTCGTCGTCGTTCAGTTCAAGGCAATTCAATTTGGCGACGGAGCTTATCTCCCCGGGGCTCTCGCACACGCTCACCACTTTGGGCCTCTCCGTGGGCTTGGGGCCCATTTGGTCCAGAAGGAAACACGACGAGGAGCCGTCGAAAACTCTGAACGGCAACAGGAGCTCGGAAGAGTCGTAATCGAAATTCTCCGATGTGGGCCGCGTGAATTTTCCTCTGCCGTGCGTCTTGAGGTTCTTGGGGGAGAAGAGGTTCGGGTAGGCCGTGGAGAGAAGCGCCGCGGCTTCATTGTAGGTTTGGTTGGGTCGCTTTCGCGGAGTTCTGGGTTTCTTGGTGGAGATAGCTAGCGCCGCCGAATTGCTGGATTCGGAGATTGTTGAGGACGGTGAAGAAGATGTGTGGGAGTTTCTGGTGGGGGAAGATGGAGATTTAACGAATTCGAAATCGAAACCGTAGGTTCTTCCCCCTGCTCCGCTTAAACACGAAGACATTGTTTTGTTTATATAATAATTAATGAATGCTCAGAATTGCATAGAGTTGTATGGGAATGGGAGTTAAAGGGGGTGCAAAACCCTAAACCCAAAAAGTACAAGCAACAAAAGTTATTGAGCTATTTTTGTTTTTTTTTAATAAAAAAAAGGGAAATGAAGAAAAGGCCAAGACGTTTGTGTTTGTTTGGGAATAGAGGAGAATGGTGTGGCTAGTGTAGAAAAGAGAGCATTGAAATTGGTGTATGAAACGTAGAGAAAGGAGGTGAAGCAGATAAAAGGGAAAGAAGCGTGTATGTATAGGCGGAGTGGTGAAGAAGAGAGAGAAGGGTTGGGTGCAGAGTGCAGAGTGCAGAGTGCAGAGTGCAGTGGAGGAGCTGTAGCTACGGAGATGAGAACGAGGGAAGAGACAATGCTCAGTTTCTCTGCTGTTCCTATGTAGGGAGTAGGGACCACTCCCATTAACCCTCTCTTCTCTCTTTTACAAATTCAATTATTTTACCTTGCTCTTTTACTATAATATCCCTATTCGATTCAGGATTATCATCTGGCTCAGCCGGCCATTCTTTATTTAATACTCGCATCATAAATAAATGCATTTATTTGAGTAGAACGATTTGCTACCAATATTATTAAGGATTTTTAAAGAATGATTTTTGTTTGGGGCAGTTTGGTAAATGAGTAATGAAAATGTTACCAAGTATGGGACACGGGGGATTATTCCATATCTTACCTCCTTTAGAAAGAGCTTCCTTATCTGGTGACGTGGCAGCCTTTGATTGGAGGGTTTAGATTTTGGGGCTCACGTGGCATACCTTTTATGGGTAAGCTGTTGTTCACGTGTATGAAGAAAAGAGGTGGGCTTTTGGAACCAACCAGATTCCAACACTTTTGGTTTCTTCCGCACTGCATCTGTGGCACTTAACAACGCTACGTTCGCCTTATTATGTTCAATCACTCCTCATTACTTCATTACCATTTCAAAATCTAGTCTTTTTCTCACGCCACAACTTGCCAATTTCAGATTATATTATTATTTATAAACTCTAAAACCCACTCCACCTCCCACTATTCTTTTTGCTATACGCCCACGTGTCATCAATTTCACACTTGTTCCACAGATATTTCCACAAATATCTTCCTTATTTCAAACAAATTACAATCTATGCCCGCAAAATAATATGTTCATCCTTAAATTCCTTTTCATTTCAATTAATTAATTTTTACAAAATTTCTAATTTGGAACTGCACTCTCTTATTGTGATTGTTTGTAAATAAATCAAATTATTCTTGTTGAAAGGTACAACGTTATGCATAATGTTTAAGTTTAAATTAGTTTCAATTAATATAAAAGCCACATTACAAAATTGTAAATTAGTTAGCACTTTAAAATTGGATGCTTCACATTGAAAGAGATGTATTTGGATCCTCCACAATTTTAATACATGAAAACAACCCTCGTTATAACGATTTCATAGTAAAGTTGCCATGAATTATTAATTCATTGGTTATTTCGAATCTACTTCATAGAAAATTAGCTATGGGATATTTTGTAAATTTTTAAAAAGTTAGAAATCAAATACACTATTTCAAAATTCATAAATAAAAAAAAAAAAAAAAAAAAAAAAAAAAAAAAAAAAAAAAAAAAAAACCTACATGACATTCAGGTACTAAATTAGTAAAAAAGAAATTAAGTATTCATTAAAAATTACAAATTTTTTTAAAAATGATGAAATGTAAGACGATAAAATCTATAACACATATATAAAAATGATATCTTACTTTAGTATATACAATTTGTTGAAGAATTTTATCTTTATAACTTTTAATCTATTTTCTTTCATTATTTCTATTCAAATATTTTTTATTTAATTTCTTCTTCTTTTTTTTTCTTTCAGTAAACCTTTAACTAATCAATAATATTTTTTTAAAAAAAATAATAGAGACAAGTAGTAGCTCTTTCTTCTGGTTTTTATAATGTTGATATGAATATTCTACCTTAGTTATCTTACATCTGATATAGAGAAATACTTCAATTAAAAATTCACTTTTAGCCTATATAATTTTATGAATATAAATTTTGTTATTTCAAAATATTTTATTAAAAAAATTGATCCACATAGTCTTGTGCACTATGGAAGTTGCTCATGCCTAAAATCATTATGTTAACCGCAAGGAGAAAATGACGAAGGCAAGACTATGTACGGAGTGAAGCTGTAATAGAGTAATTGTTTTGAAAGGTATTAGGTTAACAAAACCATAAGTAAGTCAATTCCTATTAAAACACTTACCTTACTTAATAATAGTATAATTTTCTTATCTTATCAAATAATTATAATTGAATAATTTAAATTAAAAATAACATTAGGTCCCAAACTTAATCTTACACAGAAAATCAGGCCAAACAAAAACTGGTAGTATAATTTGTTCTAATTAATTTTTCACTTGTCAATACTTTGATTTAGTTTCTAAACAAATAACTATCATTTCATTGGTTTGAGTGGGACTGTTTAAATTTTCAAATAATATCTCAAGCTTGAGTATGTGGTTAAGAGGGAGGAACTTACTTAAAAGTAATAAAGGAAAATTTTCAATAAAAATATTAGTTAGTGGTATAATCAGCAAGATAATTTTTATCTATAATATGATAAATATATATATATAAAATAAAAAAAAAAAACAAAGTCTCAAGCTTCAATAAATAATAACGCACCTTACTTAAAAAAAAAAAAAAAAAAAAAAAAAAAAAA